ATAGAACATTGAGCCACAAATAATAGGTTGATGTGTAACTTTCAACATTTGCTTCCATTTATAACTCCTTGATATTAAAATGTGTGATTTTTAAATATATCTTGAAGGGCAAAAAATATATATATTTCCATATGTTGGTACTACTGATCTTGACATAACACACATTTTGAATATATTTAAATTTGAGGCCTCTCTCTGCAAGAAAAAACTAAAACTAAATTATTGTGTAAATTAAGAGTTTATGTCAAAAAAAAGTCTACAAAACCAAATTATCGCGTTGACTTTTGAAGGATTACACGTCGAACGTGATCTCCCGAATCAGACCCTGTTTGAGCCACAGTCTTTGGAAAAAAATATATTCTTAAACAATGATTTGATATCATTTTAATCATACATTCTTCAATAAAATAATATTACACGTAAATTCAAAATTTTTTCTTATTTTTTAACCACACATTTTTCATCAATACACTATTTAAAAATATATTCTTATAAAAATAATATAACTCAAACAAGACTCAATAAGAAACCCCAAAAGCAATTCACGAGATTTTAACTTTGAACACCTCCTCCCACCCACCCCGCCAACCACCCCACGCCGATCAAATTCAATTACTAAACTGAATGTTGTCTTGTATTTGTCATTAAAGGATCACCTTAAACAAGTGATCTCAAACACTATCTTGGAGCATTCACACATATCCAGGAATATTCCAAATTAATAAAAAGCTTATAATCAATAAGAAAATTAATTTTCCCTCATTGAAACCCATAATTTATTAATTTTACAGCATAAATACCAATCAAACCTTATAAAAATTCTAAAATTTTCTTTTCTAGACCTTGATTTAAGCTGGCATTGAGTAAAAAAACAATAATACATATTGATTTCTTTTTCCATTACCATAAATTTAATTAAAGAGCAGGTAATAATAAACACAAATTTAAAGTAAACTAAAAAAAATATGTAATTTAATTTAATTCAACATTTATACATAATTGTTAAAAATACCTTGGATTCTTGCACAAAAATGGAGATGTAGGGGCTTGAATTTTCCCAATATCGGCAAGGTAGCTGTAGAGATCATTGTAAAAGTCGTACACCTTTGGAGAGTCTTATTACTCGAACTCCATACTTCTCCAAACTGTCCAATGCAATGTCTCTAATATTTTCTTTATTTCACAACAATTGAACTGGATAAGCAAGCTTAGGATTGTAGCATGCCACATATAAACATATTTGCATCACCTAATAGCTTTTATCATTTACACGTTTCATGAAAGAGAAAATTAAGATCATTTTTAGTACTCTTAGTAACATACTTGAACCATAGTTCTCTTTGATTGTGTGGATAAACTCTTTGAGATTAGAAGATGAATTGTCTGCTTAGGAGCCCTTAAACTTGCTATTTTGATTGATATCGATTAATCTAGTTTCAAATCTATGCAAAAGTTAGTGACAATACATTATTATTACCATGATTTTTAAGGATTTTTACAAAAGCTTTCAAGATCTTGTAGAGAGGACATACTGAATTCCTTCAATTTTATAACAAGATCCTTTTTCTTTATTTTTTTGGTCTAGATTCTATTATGTGTTTTATCATATTATCTGGCTAGAGAAAAACAGAACAAACGTTTATAAACCAATTTCAACTCAATTACTACTTGGGTGGAGTATATATGAGGGTTATCTGCTATAAGGAGAACTTATCTATGTTATAATGTACTTCTCTTGATCTATACCCAAGATTTTGCCTACCCGTTGATGTGTACCAGATTTGGGTCAAACGGCGTGAATTCTTATCTGTAGGTATTGCATTTCTCTTTGAAGTTTTGATTGATACGTTTTCTGGGATTGTTGTACTTGATTGTCTTGAACCTATTTGATAAAATTACGCAGTGACAGTTTGGTCATAACTACAACGAAAGAGCAATTTCTATCCTAATTTGAATGTTGGAAAGTATCTAATAGCCGTAACCATGCTATTATTGTTGAATTGTGGTACCGTGCTCTATGAATATGATGCTACTTCTCAATGCAGGTCCATTTTCTTTTGATACCATTAACTATAATGGGGGATTGCCCTCGTTGGTTTTGAACTCTAACTCATGGACAAAGGTAAATGTCAAAGTATTTATGCCCTTGTAGCTTCATTAATTCACATACGATAGACGCGATTTTATCTTTTGTATACATATGCGATAGTATGATCATGCGTACGAATTAACTCAAACTCAATGGCGTCTCTTGAATTTCCAGGTGGCGAACATAATATTCTTAGACTCACCAGTGCTTACTGGTTTCTCTTATGCGAGAACTCCAACTGTGGAAGAGTGTACTGATATAGAAGCTTGTGGCTATGCCCATGAATTCCTTCAAAAGGTACTTTTTCATGGATTTCTTGCTAACTCTGTCTTTTGTGCTTTATATTTTCTTTTTTTGGAAAAAGAAAATTGGCTTCTAAATACTATGTATTTTCTTATTCTCTTGCCTCAGATAAGAAATTTTTACTAGAGTTGTGATCGGTTAATAACTAATTCATGCGATTGATGAAATGACTAGTAGATTTTAGCTTGCCATGTAACTGGTTTGGGTTTTGCGGGATTGTCTCAACTAAAATTTTTGCACTTGCAATCTTTTTTTTTTCCAAAATGTAATCAAATATTTTATTAATCAATGGAAAATACACATGAAGTGTATTATGAATTTACACCAAAAAGGAACAACATAAAATTGGGGAGCCCGTCTATATGCTTAGTAGTCGTAGCATTAAATCAAATATACAATGTCAAATAAAACAATTCTTTAATCTGCTTTGTTGTCGTGTTTTATCATTAAAACAACGACTGTTTCTTTCTCTTTATACATACCATACAATGCAACTCAGAATAAGGTTCTATATAAGCTTGCTATCATTGTGGCGAAACTTTTTCCTCTATGCTTTTAGCACGTCTTTCATACACCTCAGCAACACAATCCATGTGTTGAGATGCCAGAATATCATTCCACAACAAACGAGCAATATCATAGTGAAGGAACAATATATTTGTAAGGTTTTAGGATTTCATTGAAATGCCCTTTAATAGAAAAAGATGATAGGAGTCAGTACTTCTCTGGGCAGAAAAGAAGGGATTTCTTCAAAAGAAATCAAACAGTGATAAATCAATCTAATGTTCTTGTGAAATTGATTTTGCAGTGGTTGATTGAGCATCCCCAATTTATTTCCAATCAATTCTACGTTGGTGGGGACTCGTACTCTGGCCTTATAGTTCCTGTTCTAACTCAAATCATAGCAGATGGTAAGATGATCCAACTATTGTATGATGCTACTACAAAGCAAGGTTTGGAAGATATCCACTAAATAAGGAACCATGTCAATGAAACTTAACAATATTGACCAAAATATTGAATCAGATTAAAGACATAAAAAATATTTAATAATCATCGTAAACGTATAAATTTTACAAACATTTAAAAAAAAAAAAGCGAAGAACAAATTTCATAATTATTGAGCAATTATGTTATGACACCAAACTTTTTAAAAAACAGATTTCGGAATGTACCAAATGGATTGCTGCACAAAACTAATGTCCATAATAGCTTGTCGACAAACAATATTCAACGCGAAAATACTTTTTCGCCGAGACCTTAGGGCTTAAAATTTGACAGCTCACAATTTTGAGACTCAGAACAAATGAAGCTTTATTCAACTTCAAAAACCCTAATATTGCGAAATATAAACCATTATACACAAGTTATTAGGAAAAAGGGAAAGCATTTACATGAAAAGACAAAGGTGAGTCAGTTTAGATTCACTTGAGTAGGACTTCCCATAATTCCTTATATCTCACATTCAGAGATCCATTTTTTTTCTTTTTTCATACCAGTTAGACTGGTATAACTTTTGGATTCACCAGAGTGCAACTTTCATAAACTTTTCCTGAAACAAGTGAACACATAAGCCATCAGGATGTTGTAACTTGAAAAATAGAAGAGTATAATTTCCAAAAATATATATCACCTTAATTATTTTTCAAAAATATATAAAATTCAGTCCTTATTTAGCTAATGATAGTTAATAACTAATAATAGAGAGCAAATATCATATATGAATTCATTGGATTGAAGAATTTTCTGAGTCTTCATTAGTGTCCATTTAAATTCTCAATTTCGCATCATTATTAATCCAATGATGGTCCAATGAGTCGTGGCAAATAATAATACATTTAGTAATTGAACTTCTAATTCAATATAATGTTTACCATTTGAATAACTGTTCATTCAAACAAAAGACAATCAATTCTCGAAAATATAATTAACTACGATATAATCATATAAAAATCAATGTCCATATGACATTAATTGTATGTTTCCTTCGGGAATAAATACTAATTCAAAATGATATATTCTTCTAAATGTATGTTATTCTAAGAGCACATTGTATTTTATCATTGCTTCTTTAAAAGTCATATGTCAATATTCATTTGAAATATTGAAATTTGTAATTCATACTCTTCACAAGCAATCACATATTATTACAATAAATTATGCAAAGATTTACTCTTCATGAGTAAAAACACAATTTATTCTCTTCGAGAACAAGTAAAATCTAAATAAAATATTTATCAATAATAGTGTGCTAATCAAGAGAAAAAAACAAACTATTGTAATAAACAAATCTGCAATTAATAATCTTTCGAAATATTAATTATAATATTATGCTTCTTCAAAAGCAATAATATAATAAATTATTAATTTAAAATTTATAAAAGGGTAACAAAAAATATTGAATCAGATTAAAGACATAAAAAATATTTAATAATCATCGTAAACGTATAAATTTTACAAACATTTAAAAAAAAAAATCGAAGAACAAATTTCATAATTATTGAGCAATTATGTTATGACACCAAACTTTTTAAAAAACAGATTTCGGAATGTACCAAATGGATTGCTGCACAAAACTAATGTCCATAACACATTAAAAACTTCAACACTCGTATTTCTAGAGTTCAAAATGATAGTTATAATTAGAATGAGATAGATGATAAAACTATATAATTATCAATATAATTTTATAACAAGATCCTTTTTCTTTATTTTTTTGGTCTAGATTCTATTATGTGTTTTATCATATTATCTGGCTAGAGAAAAACAGAACAAACGTTTATAAACCAATTTCAACTCAATTACTACTTGGGTGGAGTATATATGAGGGTTATCTGCTATAAGGAGAACTTATCTATGTTATAATGTACTTCTCTTGATCTATACCCAAGATTTTGCCTACCCGTTGATGTGTACCAGATTTGGGTCAAACGGCGTGAATTCTTATCTGTAGGTATTGCATTTCTCTTTGAAGTTTTGATTGATACGTTTTCTGGGATTGTTGTACTTGATTGTCTTGAACCTATTTGATAAAATTACGCAGTGACAGTTTGGTCATAACTACAACGAAAGAGCAATTTCTATCCTAATTTGAATGTTGGAAAGTATCTAATAGCCGTAACCATGCTATTATTGTTGAATTGTGGTACCGTGCTCTATGAATATGATGCTACTTCTCAATGCAGGTCCATTTTCTTTTGATACCATTAACTATAATGGGGGATTGCCCTCGTTGGTTTTGAACTCTAACTCATGGACAAAGGTAAATGTCAAAGTATTTATGCCCTTGTAGCTTCATTAATTCACATACGATAGACGCGATTTTATCTTTTGTATACATATGCGATAGTATGATCATGCGTACGAATTAACTCAAACTCAATGGCGTCTCTTGAATTTCCAGGTGGCGAACATAATATTCTTAGACTCACCAGTGCTTACTGGTTTCTCTTATGCGAGAACTCCAACTGTGGAAGAGTGTACTGATATAGAAGCTTGTGGCTATGCCCATGAATTCCTTCAAAAGGTACTTTTTCATGGATTTCTTGCTAACTCTGTCTTTTGTGCTTTATATTTTCTTTTTTTGGAAAAAGAAAATTGGCTTCTAAATACTATGTATTTTCTTATTCTCTTGCCTCAGATAAGAAATTTTTACTAGAGTTGTGATCGGTTAATAACTAATTCATGCGATTGATGAAATGACTAGTAGATTTTAGCTTGCCATGTAACTGGTTTGGGTTTTGCGGGATTGTCTCAACTAAAATTTTTGCACTTGCAATCTTTTTTTTTTCCAAAATGTAATCAAATATTTTATTAATCAATGGAAAATACACATGAAGTGTATTATGAATTTACACCAAAAAGGAACAACATAAAATTGGGGAGCCCGTCTATATGCTTAGTAGCCGTAGCATTAAATCAAATATACAATGTCAAATAAAACAATTCTTTAATCTGCTTTGTTGTCGTGTTTTATCATTAAAACAACGACCGTTTCTTTCTCTTTATACATACCATACAATGCAACTCAGAATAAGGTTCTATATAAGCTTGCTATCATTGTGGCGAAACTTTTTCGTCTATGCTTTTAGCACGTCTTTCATACACCTCAGCAACACAATCCATGTGTTAAGATGCCAGAATATCATTCCACAACAAACGAGCAATATCATAGTGAAGGAACAATATATTTGTAAGGTTTTAGGATTTCATTGAAATGCCCTTTAATAGAAAAAGATGATAGGAGTCAGTACTTCTCTGGGCAGAAAAGAAGGGATTTCTTCAAAAGAAATCAAACAGTGATAAATCAATCTAATGTTCTTGTGAAATTGATTTTGCAGTGGTTGATTGAGCATCCCCAATTTATTTCCAATCAATTCTACGTTGGTGGGGACTCGTACTCTGGCCTTATAGTTCCTGTTCTAACTCAAATCATAGCAGATGGTAAGATGATCCAACTATTGTATGATGCTACTACAAAGCAAGGTTTGGAAGATATCCACTAAATAAGGAACCATGTCAATGAAACTTAACAATATTGACCATACTTATCTCTCATACTTGCTTCTGTCAGCTGAATTTTGAAATTATTTTAGTTCATTCGAAAATAAAAGTATGTTAAACCTTCTTTGTTAAATAATAAAATATTTGAATTCATAAATATTAAATTAAATTGTTGTAATTCTAGTTTCAAAATGTAATTTGAGTAAAACTTGAAGGAGTAATTATATTCCATATGTTTATAAGTAAATTCAAATTTTGTATAAATAAAAAAAAAATTTTAATTAATATAATGTATTAATTGTTAAACTCCTATATTAAAAAATACCAAAAAAATAGTTTCAAGGGAATTCTCATGGAAAATTGCATCCTTAAAATATTAAATAAAATGCCATAATGCCATCTTTTTGTCATATGGCATTTTAAATTTACTTACAATTTAGTCAAGCAAGCAAAAAACTAAGTACAAGTTATTAACATTTTCAAAAACTGCAAAGAGCGATGTATATTCGCCAATGATTCTGCAGCTGTTTACATTGGCATCTGCGACTATTTTTCAAATTAACCTTTTAGTTTTAGAAATAAATTCACTTGAGGGCCATGAAATGCCAAAGAGAAAAACCAAATTGTCATTAAGGAAATATGACAATGTGTAGTTTCAACTTTGCAGGTATTGGAGCTGGTATCAAACCTATTATTAATCTTAAGGTTTTCACTATTTCTATTGATCTATTAATGAATACATGCCCGTGTTACTAAAGGGTTGTTTGAGCCCCATTTTCTTCAAAAAAATGCATTTTCAAATAGTGTTAGATGAGAAATGTGTGGTTAAAAAATAAGGAAAAGTTTTAGATTTACGTGTAATATTATTTTATTGAAAATGTATGGTTGAAATAAGGTCAAATTACTGTTGAAGAATGTACTTTGATGAAAAAAAGGGGATTCAAACAAGGGCTAAGATCCCAATGAAAAGAATGAAAAAATGAACTAAAATTTTCGCTACATGGGCCGTCTTTTTTGCATTTTCCTTTTCTCCCTTTTTTTTTTTTTTTGGTTGTTACATAGGACATCTCATATTACTACCCACCACTTATCCATATAGGTCAAATACTTTTATCAACATAAGCTGCTAGTTTATCACTTTTGGTCATTTTCCTATTAGTGATTGTTAGTGTCCCCTTTCAAGGATTTTTGGTGCTTGTAGAAACTTGCAAGAGTGGCTTGCTAAAGAATTCACCAAAAAATTCGGATAAGTGATGATGCATACCTTAAGGATTTTGGAGCAAGTAGAATTTAGTTGATTTGAAAAAGATATATATGTAGAATTCAATCACGTAGAATTCAATCACCCAACAAACATAAACAGGGACAACTGAACTTGGGGCTGTAAATTTTAAGCAATAATCTGGTTTCAGCCCAATGCTTCACTAAATAGATTATGATATTGTCATGGTTTCAGGGATACATACTCGGAAACCCTGTAACCTCTCATAGTGACCTCAATTACAAGATCCCATATTCTCATGGAATGGGATTTATTTCCAGTGAACTTTACAAGGTCAGTTTCTTTTTAAAGATTCTTGGAAATTTTTTCTTATTCATCTTGTTCATTAATAGATTACTGGCTCAACTGTGACTTGAAAGTCGAGCAATTTACTCGTCATATAATTAAGGGAACAGCAGTGATGGAAACCAACGATATTAAATCATTTTATATATAAACTTATTACCTCCATATTCAAAAAGTTATATCAATTGCCTCTGATAATTTAAACTTGACACTACTTGGGGGAAAACATATTTTTTACCAGGAGAGAATTGGACAGTATCTAGAAAGAGAGACATGATTCTATCAAGTACTGAATATTCCAATGTTCCAAATATGTGTGAGAGGTTAATAACCTATCTCATAATCAAAGGCCTTCATAAATGCGTGCGGTTTTTAATGTGAACTAAAATTAACACATATTAAGCCGTGAAAATTAATACTTCATATCCTTCTTTTGCAGTCTCTGAAGAAACATTGCAAAGGAGAATATTTTCGGATTGATCCAAATAATGCACTGTGTAATCAGGGTGTTCAGGCTTTCAATGAAGTATGCTACTATTTGGAAGACCAAACTTGTTTCTTATATTACGATCGGTTATTAAAGGTCCTTTATCATACACTTTGCAGTGTGTCGATGGAATTAATGACAAGCATATTTTGGAGCCAAAATGTGATTTTGACTATATAAACCAACAGCAATTGTTTGGCAAAAGAAGATCTCTTGATGATATATTCAGAAAGCCAAACAAAGGTTTTAGCTGTCGTGTAAGTACTCTTGTTTTTGTTTCCTTTGCATGCATGAATAGAAATGCATGGCGTATAAAACAAATAAGGATCTCAAAAATCCATGGTTGACTGCCATCTTGGATTGCAAAATCATCATAATTCGTATTAATTGTCAACTTCTTGTGCATGAATTGATATGATATGATGTGGGTTTGTGAACATACCTTATTATCATTCACTCATAAAGTTCAGGGACATTTAGCTCCTTTTTTTTCTTTTTTTTTTTGAGATTTTACTCGGTGTCAATTAGGCAGTCTGTGGACAATGCTTTTTCCCTTGCTCAATGCCCAGTATAGGAAAAATTTGGATTATATAAGAAAAAAACACAACGGCACTACTTGTTTTCATGTACCAGGCTGGTCATTTCTCAAGAACAATAGCTAAAGGACTTGCATGGTCTCAGGCCTCAGCTTGATTGGCATATAACACCTTTGAAATTGAGTGAATTGTTATCACTTCATGATTACAGGCTGAGGAATTCGTGCTCGTTATTAATTGGGCAAATAACCGGGATGTCTTCATGATTACAGGCTGAGGAATTCTTGCTCGTTAGTAATTGGGCAAATAACCCGGATGTCCAAGAAGCTCTCCATGTTCGAAAGGTAACTAGTAACCTTGATATATAGTGCTTGACTGAAATAAACTTCTAAAAGTTGAAGTTTCAATTTATTTATTTATTTATTTTTTTCACAGGGGACTATAGAAGAATGGGTGCGATGCAATCGTCATTTAACAACTTTCACGATAACTGTTGTGAATTCAGTGCCTTACCATAAAAATCTCAGCATCAAAGGTTACAGATCACTTATATACAGGTCTGAAAACTTTAATCAGGATACTCAAACAAATTTCATTGAAATGCATGCTGAAGTTTTATGTAATTGAAACAGTGGTGACCATGATCTGGTTGTTCCCTTCCTTGCGACTAGAGCTTGGATAAAATCTCTAAATTACTCCATTGTCGATGAATGGAGACCATGGATTGTAAATGACCAAGTGGCTGGGTGGATACTCGAATTCCCTACTTTCTTTGTACTTTGAGATTCATCTTATTTAAAATGCTGAATTAGCCTTTTCTTTTGCCCTTCTGCAGCTACACAAAATCTTATTCTAATCAAATGACATTTGCAACAGTAAAGGCAAGGAAATTACTCGATTATTCTGCTTTTAGCCACTGTTCCCTTAATAAATATATCTGAAAAATTAAATTAGTTCCTAATTGTTTACCATTTATTTGTGCATTATGTTTTTGTTGACAGGGAGGAGGCCACACGGCTCCTACATACAGGCGCGAAGAATGTTTTGCTATGTTTAAAAGATGGATATCTTATGAGCCTATATAGCCTTTCCCAAGTTTTGCTGCTTTGTCTTGTATAGGGGAGTTCCCTTGCTAAAATCTCCATTTCTTGAGATCATTTCCTATTTCCCAAGTTTCATATAAGCTACTGAGGGGATTATTGCTAGCATGTTTCCTAAATTCTACTATTGAAACTCAAAATTCAATTTATATGGATCAAAATGCAATATACAAGATTTTCAAACGGTAAAGAATAGAAGGAAAAAGCAACAGTAGTTGCATCCCTTTCTCTTATCTCTTTTTATAATTGATTGATTTGGGAGAGATCAATTGACCTCGTCCATCATTAGAGTATGCAATAGATGCTCTCGAAGTCATATGGCTTATCAATGGATATAGTTATCAACCCAAGTATGGAAGGAGAGAATTCTTCTCTAGTGGATGGATATTGATTATTCTATTAGGAAAGATAAACCAACTGAAATCACCGATGCCAGCATTGCAGCACACATTGCTTTTTATGAATAATGAAAGCGATCTAATCGTCTCAGCGTGATGTTCATAAAGACTAAAATTTCAACTCGTCACTTCAGGTAAAGCATTAGCAAGCACTCTTGTAATGAAGTTTTTATCCTTAAAACTCAACGGTGTGAAAGGTGTGCGCAACCACATCATGCAAATGATTACGGTTCAACTTGAGAAACTCGAGGTTGAGATGTCTTAATCCTTCATTGTGCACTACATCTTGAATACTCTCCGATAACAGTATAGACCTTTCAAAATCTCATACAACACATTTAAAGATAAATGAATTAATGACTATGTATGTTCAAGAAGAATGGAGGCTAATAATGGAACAAAATGAAAGTGTAA